CACTGGGAAGAGTCTGGCCCATCCTCCTGCCACCCCCTGCAGATATTGATCAGCTCTGATCAGATCCCCCCTCAGCCTCCTTCTCTCCAGCTGAGCAGCCCCAGCTCTCCCAGCCTTTCCTCACAGGCAGATGCTCCAGCCCCTCCATCACCTCAGAGCCCTGTGCTGGGCTCTCCAGCAGCTCCTTGTCCCTCTGGGGCTGGGCAGCCCAGACCTGCGGGCCCTGCAGAGACCACCGGGTGCTGCTCCTTCAAGGCCGGGAGGAACCAGGACTCTGTCCCAGTTGTTTCTCCCTCCAGCCCTGAGCTGGGGTCTCCAGGACCCCCAGGGCGCAGGGGGAGCTTGGGCTGCTCCGCCTGGATCAGGGATAGGGACAGTGCCCGGAATGGCAGGTTTAACTTCCAGCCCTGGTGGGATCGGGCAGTGGGACTGGGGGATGATTGTTCATCCCTTCCAGCTGCTCTGTCCCGATTTCCCACACACCTGGAAAGGCAGATTCAGGGAGTTTTTCAGTCCGTGTGACATGGCAGTTCTGGGCTCTCCAGTTCAAGGAGCTACTTGGGCACAGGGCACTGAGATGCTGGAGGGGCTGGAGCATCTGCCTGTGAGGAAAGGCTGGGAGAGCTGGGGCTGCTCAGCTGGCAGCAGAGCTGGCAGCGTGACAGTGGCAGTGTGAAAAGGGTTAAGGCTTGTTATGCCACATTTCCTTTCCAGTACCAAGTCTACCTGGCCTTATTGATGTTTGCACTCACACTCTTAGCTTGCTTTCATTTTAACAAGTGCCAGCTCTGCAGCAGCCTTTCCCTGCCCGTGCCTCTCCTTTCTGTCTCTCTCCCTCTCCCCTGGCCCATCCCACGCTGGAGAACTGGTACCTTCTGACATTTGGGTGCCAGGAATCAGCCCTGCAGCCTTTGCTCGGTTCCACCGGCTGCAAAGGGCACGGCCAAAAGCTGCTGGCACCACAGCACACGTGTCTGTTGAATCAGCTGCGTGTTCAGCAGCCGTCACGGACCTTTCCTGAGCACAGGCTGCAGTGGGTGCAAAACTGGGCTCCAAAACAGAGTGTGGCCACAACGAGCAAGTGGGAGAACGTAAGAAATAAACAGCAGTTGCTTGCTTGCCCTTGCTGTACACGTCTTACGTGTAAAGCTGCCCACACCTGTGGGAAATTGATAAAACTTGTTACGTGTCAGTCAGCAATGACTGTTCTGCAAAGGGGACTGAAGGCCTGTGTGAAAAGGCAGAGCTTGGCCTTCACTGCACTTGCAGCTCCTGAGATTCCTCTCAGGAATGACATTTTGAGATGAGGCTGCTGATTTAGACTGCTAGGGATAATAACTGTGCTCCTACTGTTCTATTTATCCCCTGAAGAAGTTCTGGCAGTGACTAACTGATGACTGGAGTTAGTCAGACATCCACCCTCTTAAATGCTTGAGAGGTGTGTGAGCAAGCTCACCACAATCCTGCTTGAGGAGAACGTGGTGTCATCCCAAACTGCTGCTTGGGAAATTTCTCTCCTGTTTCACCTTCTAGGGGGCTTAATTTTTAATTTATTTTTTTTTCAGAAATCTGAAACACTGACCAAAAAATGAATCCAGGAAGCTTGGTATGTTAAGGCACTTTTCCTACACTGCTGAATATTCATTCTCACTCACTGTCTTACAATTACATTTTTTCAGCAATAAAATGTTTGCTTCCTGCCCTCTTTCACCCACGTAGAATCTCACCAAAACTGATGCAAAATCAATTATTAAGTCAGATTTTGCATCTGCAATAAAAACCAACCAACCAACAACTTCTGTGGAAACTTTCCTGCCCTGCACACCACGATGCCTTTTTTTTTTTGGGCTTGAAAAGTTCAGGTTACAAAAGCTGATAACGCTGTGAAGAAGAACTGCAGCCACAAACCTGCCCTTTACTGTTGCTGTGCTCCAAGGAGAGGGACTGAAGCTCCCGAGGACAGAAGAACCCCCCCCTTCCAGGCCATCTCCAACCCTCTGGAAGGACAGGAGCTGTGGAACACACATGCCCTCTCGTGGTCGATATTCCCGCACGGAACGCTCCAGCTGGGCTGCTCTCCTAAAGGAAATGGCAAAGAAAAAGAGGTTATCAAATCCCTTCTCTTTCTAATCACTTCCAGAGACGCTGAGCACATGACCTTGAGTTCAATAAGCAAGTTCAGAAGAGCAGGGCACACACTTTGCTACCAAAAGATGGGTTTTCGTGTGTTCACACCTAAGTGCCAACATCTGGATTGAGATTTCCCCTCTCATTTCCTGTTTTTCAGTTCCTAAAAGGTGCCTGGTGCCTGCCAAACGGCAAAAAACAAACAAACAAGACAACAGGGAAGTGACCTATGATGCAAGAGTAAAAGTGGATGGGAACAACTGTTTGTTAAAAGAACAGGAATTAGAAACCCAGGACAAGCCCCCAGCAATGACTGTTCTCCTCTACTGGGATGTTCCTTTTCAGGAGAAATGGTTGCTAACTGGGTCTTATTTTCAAAACCAGTGGAAGATATATTTTTTATTTTATTTATTTATTTTAAGGGGATTACTTCTTTCAGCACTGTCTGATGGGGGAACAGTGCAAGCTTGGCAGACACTCTGTGGCCCTGCAGACCTGCCACGGTGCACATCAACCTCACCTCTGCCACTGAGGAAGGGAGAGCAGCAGCTGTGGCAACTGACCCACATGTTTCCATGTTTACAATGCAAGAGCACACAGATCCAGACACATCTGCCCGTGTGTTTGCCTTGGCAGAGCACACCCCTGGCCATGCCGTGCACTCATTTAGGTTGTTTCAATCCCACATTAAACACCTCCTGCCAAAGTCTTTGGCACACTTGTGTTTCCTGGTGGCTTCTGCAGATGGCTTTTGCTTCATTTTCCTCTTTATTTATTTCCATGCAATGGAGAAGAGTAAACTTTTAGGGAACCCTGTCAAGAGCTAAAACAATTTTGGATGCTTCATAGACAGACTTGTTTGGCAGCAAAATGTTGCTCTCCTGGAGCTAGAGATACTCACCTGCAGAGCAGTAGGTGAGTGGTATTTGTGTTCCTGCTTGGCTTGCTTTGTCTGCTTGGTCATTCTCCCTCCATTACCTTGTTTTCTGATCAAAGAAGAAAAAAAACCCAACAAACAAACCCAAACCCCACATGGATCCAAAAGCTGGAGTTTAGCAAATCCCTCGTGCACAGCCAGCCCAAGCAGATAGTTTGATGCTTTTTAAAAAGCTTTTGTGATTTTAACAATGTGTTCTGAAGAGTTCTGGCTTCAGTAATGCAGTTTACAGACTCAAGGTTGCCTCAACCTGCATCTTCCCTTCAGCTCTGCAGGACACCTTGCCTGCCTTCAGGCAAAACTCACCCAGCAGAAGGCTGGCACCTCACTCCCACATCACATTTCTGTCCAACAGTGTCCACAAGACATCCCAAGGAAAGTAAATACTCCTAATGAGAAGATGAACAGAAATCTTTCCCTGCCACATGGGGTAATTACATGGGGGTGATTGAGTGAGAAGTGACTGAGAGTTACAATCTTCAAGACTCCTTGAGACTCCATTAAGTAAATCTGAAGCAAGGATTTAAGAAGTCTGGACAGGACTATAAAGCTTAAAACTTTCCCTTGGCTGTTTAAATCATAACACTAGGGACTAACTTCAGTGAGCAGCAGGTCCTGTTGTAGCAAATACTCCTGTGGTCAGAGGTGCTGTGCTTGGATGGGGTCTGTGGACAAAAGCTTTCTTGAAAAGTTGATGTAATTGCAACCAATACAAGATTGGCAAAACCTGGGAGGGCTGTGGGGCTTTTTTTATACATAGACAGATAGATAAACAGGCAGGTACTAGTTTTATTTGGCTTGTGAAAAGGTCAAACAGGATCTGAGAAAGTAAAAAAGATTACCTTCTATACACAGCACTAGGACTGCTCAACCAAACCAGATCTTTAATCAAATACAATTCTTACACACCATGACTTGGGACAGACATGCTTCAGGATTGCTGCGCAGCTCTGCTGGATGACAACATGAAAACTTTGTCAGTTGCAAGGCCTCATTATTGTAGTTTCAAAAGCACTTCAGAGTCACTCATTTGCAGAGTCCTGGAAGCCTGTGAAATGCTGTGATTTCTGTTTTTCACACAGGGCTGAGACCCTCAGTGTCAGTGAGGCAGGGCAAGGCCAGCCTGCCACTGCTCTGCTGGCTGTATTCCAGGCTTTTTTTTGTCCATTTCCTTAATATCCATAAATCTCATTCTCCACCCAGGCTGATTCCTTGCTCCTCCCCACATGATCTCCACACAGCTCATAGATATCGTTGGTGACAAAGCCACTTTCAGTACTGGTCAGGGTGACAAAGCCACTGGTTGATGTGTTCATGGCCACCTCGTCATAATCCCTGGAGGGGCTGCCCAGCACCTTGTCCTCCTGTGTACGGAAGGAAGAGTTCTTAGTGCCAGGCCTGGTTCCAGCCAGATCTGCTTCTGATTGCTTCTTGATCACTTTGTAAATGTCCAGGTTTGGGCTGTTCCTCCTGAGGTGAGACAGCCAAGCATCCTCCTCCTTTGGGCTTGCATCTATTTGCTCCCGTTTCCTAGAGGATGGAGGAAAGGGGACAAGTCACAACCTGCTTTTTCACAGAGGCAAATACAAAACAACACCCCAGCTCTCTTACAGTATTTTGCTCCAAATCTATATCCTTTTATTTCTATCACCATGTTTTGAACTTTTGAAAGGAGTTTTCTGACAATTCAAAACTTTTCTTGAGAAAGTAAACTTAAGTGCTAATGCTTCAAAATCATCATCTCATTTTAGAATCACAGAATCCCAGACTGGTTTGGGTCGGAAGGGACCTGAAAGATCATCCAGTCCCACCCCCTGCATGGGCAGGGACACCTCCCACCAGCCCAGGCTGCTCCAAGCCCCATCCAACCTGCCCTTCAACACTGCCAGGGATGGGGCAGCCACAGCTTCCCTGGGCAACCTGGGCCAGGCTCTCACCACCCTCACACTCCACAGTTCCCTCCTCATGTCTCACCTCAACCTCCCCTCTTCCAGTTTTCATCCCTTCCCCCTTGTCCTCTCCCTCCCTGCCCTTGTCCCAAGTCCCTCCCCAGCTTTCCTGTAGCTTTACACTGTTCCCTAACTCCTGTAAACATCATGAAATGGCATCATATAATTTACTTCAAATCTTACTTCACAAGTAACTCAGCCTGGAGCATCCAGGTCACTTTTTAAACACATGTCTGGCTGAAAGTAGCCCTCTCCAGAGCATCCCACAGGATGCTGATGCTAGCTGGAAAATGATTGCCAGGACAAGGCACCACAGGTTCACTTGTCACACAAAATTGTCACTTACCTCTTCACAAAAAGCCAAAAACAGAGGATGGCTGCAAGGACCAGCAGGAGGAGCAGCACTGGAATGCTGGGAATGAGGATGTAGGCAAGACTCTGAACAGGTTCTAGGGGGAAAATTGAGATTCCAGCTTTTACTCAATCAAGTTTGATATGCACAGAACTTCATAGAAAAACTAAGAGCTGCCAAAAGCAGCAGCATCCCACCTCAGTGGGCTTCTAGTCTGGTTCATAATCCAGTCGGATCCAGTTCCTCTCAAAGGCAGCAAGTCTAACAGAGTCTGATCCTCTAGTTAAACAGATTAGAGTAAAATAAGCTCAAATCTTCAAGGTGAGGAACCAAACCTCTCAGTCTCTCACTGGAAGAGGGCAATGATAGTGCAAGTTACTGAGATCTGCTGCCTTTTAAAGCCTGAGGAATCCCCAGCCAAAAGGTTTCAGAGATTAAAATGTCTTTTATTATCTGTGAATCTGCAGAGGTGAAGTCAGTCTGGTAAGAAGCAGCTGAAAGTTTTTTCGTAGTTAATAACAGACTTACAAACAAAACATGAACAATTTAAACATTCAGAAGAGACACAATAAATTCACAGGACCTTTTTCAGACCCCAAATACTTTGCACAGCTTTAGATTTAAAGCCAAAGCAATCAGCTTAGGTTTGTACTGGGAAAGATTTGAGGGGAGTTGTGTTTCAGATGCAGTTGCCTGAACTTGGCTTCTGCATTTTGGGTCAAACACTTCAAACTGGAATGCTGACTGTTTGCAGCCTCATGTGGGAAGTGTGAGCCTGCAGAGAGAGCTCAGGCCAGCTCTTGGATGCACAGCATACCTTTGGCTTCTACAGTTGTTAAGTTGGCATCTTTCTTCTGGCGTTCTCCTGGGAATACTGGGATCAAGGCCTCTGTCACATCTGGAAAGAAGCAGCTTCATTAATACATTGTTTGAAAGATTTTAAGAATCATAAAAAGTGAGGTTGAGAGGAGATTGAAGAGACAGCCAGCTGCAAAGATGTGGGAGGGGTAGTGGTCTTCTTTGGGTTAGATTTCTGCAGCGTGACCAGTAGCAGTCCCAGAGCCTGCATCACCACCAGCAGGACTGGGCTCCTGCAGAACAGATCCTGGAGCAGCACAAGGAAAGGGCAAACTGGAGGGAAGCTTCTTGCTCTGCAAGTTTTCAGTCTGTGAGTGTCCTTAAAAATGAATCCCAAATGAATTCTGGCACCTAAGGGGGCTCCAGGAAAGCTGGGGAGGGACTTGGGACAAGGGCAGGGAGGGAGAGGACAAGGGGGAAGGGATGAAAACTGGAAGAGGGGAGGTTGAGGTGAGACATGAGGAGGGAACTGTGGAGTGTGAGGGTGGTGAGAGCCTGGCCCAGGTTGCCCAGGGAAGCTGTGGCTGCCCCATCCCTGGCAGTGTTGAAGGGCAGGTTGGATGGGGCTTGGAGCAGCCTGGGCTGCTGGGAGGTGTCCCTGCCCATGCAGGGGTGGGACTGGATGATCTTGCAGATCCTTTCAAATCCAAACCAGTCTATGATTCTATGAATCTAACAGAGTATTTCTACTGCAAGTTAGCAGCCCATTAAAAAAAGCCCCAAACAAATACCTGTAACTCACCTCTCTGAGAATTCTCTATTGGTGCTTTCGTTGGCTTCTCTAAAAGAAAAAAAAAAAAAAGGCACATTTTCCTCAGAAGTTTGAGCAGGGAGACCAAGGGTACTGAATACAGTTTAATAACATTTCTTTAGTGTTCTCTCAGGCTCCATTTGAGATCTCAAATGGAGGGATGAAAACTGGAAGAGGGAGATTGAGGTGAGAGATGAGGAGGGAATTGTGGAGTGTGAGGGTGGTGAGAGCCTGGCCCAGGTTGCCCAGGGAAGCTGTGGCTGCCCCATCCCTGGCAGTGTTGAAGGGCAGGTTGGATGGGGCTTGGAGCAGCCTGGGCTGCTGGGAGGTGTCCCTGCCCATGCAGGGGTGGGACTGGATGATCTTGCAGATCCTTTCAAATCCAAACCAGTCTATGATTCTATGAATCTAACAGAGTATTTCTACTGCAAGTTAGCAGCCCATTAAAAAAAGCCCCAAACAAATACCTGTAACTCACCTCTCTGAGAATTCTCTATTGGTGCTTTCGTTGGCTTCTCTAAAAGAAAAAAAAAAAAAAGGCACATTTTCCTCAGAAGTTTGAGCAGGGAGACCAAGGGTACTGAATACAGTTTAATAACATTTCTTTAGTGTTCTCTCAGGCTCCATTTGACATCTCAAATCCTTTATAAAAATCCTCTGAGAATTCATGTAATTCACAAGGCAAGTAGCTACAGATACCAGACACTGAGATTGTTTTCCCCACATTTTGTATAAGTTGAAAGATTTGTCTCCCACCAGCTCTTTCCAGGGAAGCTAGGAGAGCATTTCCCTATCTGTGACTGCAGTCTCCTCTTGGGGACTGGGAGAGGGTTGGTTTTTAAAGCTGCAGAATGACTCATTACCCAGAGAATATTTGCAAATGAAGTTATTTTTCATGTTGCATCTGTCATCGTTCCACTGAAACATGTAAGGACCCCCGACACCTGGTGGGGCAGATGGCTGGTGGTACATCACAACACAGATCTCACTCCCACAGGATGGCTCATCTGCATACCAGTTCCTGAGAAAATACAACAGACATGGCAAGGAAGACTGGATGTCACCTTCCACAGCTCTGCAGAAGCTCAGATTGCAGCTTTCAGGACACCAGAGAGGGCAGAATCAGAGAGGATTCCAGCTCAGCACATCCCACCCAACCTCCAGCCCCTGCTTCCACTCTGTAAAAGCAGGACCAATAACTGTACCATTATTTATAGTGTATTTTTCTTTCTGGAATTACTAATTTTCAAAGAAAACTCAGAGAGCAAGGTGTTCAGCAAATAGCAGGGAGTGAAGGGCTGGGTCATGCAGCAGGATGCCCCATCTCACCCCACTGCCTGAAACAAGTAAAAGCTTAGGAGAACTTGGACTTTGCCTACACAATTTTAGGCCTGTGTAAAATCACCTGTCTACTGTTTTGTTGTGTTTTTTTTTAAAAAAAACAGATTGCTTGTTCTTCCACTTCCTTTTGGGCATCAGGAATTACCCATCTAGCCCAAGCTAGACACTGTAGGGGTCTTACATAGAGAGAACAGGGTGTCTAGAGGGGTGACTTGTCTCCCCCTTCCATCAGGATGGGAGGAGTGCCTCTCTGGAGATGCTGCCACTCTTCAGCCACTGCAGGAGGGCCACAGGGATAACACTGCTTGATTCTTTTGAAAGAATCCTTTCTGACAGCCAAGGGCAGGTGTCAGTCCCTGACCAGGCTGCTTCCCACTCTCCTGGGTACCCACCGGAACCTGGAGGAGCTGCCATCTGACCAGGAGTAGAGGTTCTGACACTCTGTACTGTTGTCCACCTCCTCCTTTTTCCTCCTAAGCCCAATCCAAAAATCTCCATCAGAAGCCAAGAGGCTCTGAATGAATTTTTCAATCAGCCTTTGCTCTGCTTCTGTCCCAATGCTGACCAGGTGTCCCCCGTCAGCTTTGCAGGCCAGGTGTGCTTCTTCATAGCTGATCCTGCGTGAGGCATCATGAAAATAAACTACTTTGTAGCAGGGCTGCTGTGTCCCACCCCGGCACACCGTCTGTCCTGCGGAAAGGAGAGAAACCTGTTAGAGAAACCAGTGCTTTTGGGTTTTGAGCTGCGTGGAAAACGCAATCCTTTATTACTACTGGACTGGCAAACGGCATCTCTGGACGTTTCTGGACAGTTTGGCTTGATCTGCTCAGCTCTGTTTTTTCATGTCCCGATTTTCTCAGCTCCCTGATGAATTTTCTGCAGTTGGAGAACCTGGGAGCTCCTCACAAAGCAGCTGTGGTGAGCAAGCTGGCCTTTTTGAGTGTTCCTTTGCACGAGTTCCAGGAGGCTTTTGAAAACCATTATTAATTTTCAGGAACTCAAATGGCTAAAATGAAGAGATCCCCTTACACAATCAGAGATAAACATTTATCTTCTGGGCTCGATGGAGCAGAGACTGCAGAGCAGCAAGATGTGTTCACACAGCCCCGATACAAGCACAGCTCTGCACTGTTTTGGTGCTGTCTGCCCAGGAAATAAACAATGTCTGTTTTCAGACTCTCACAAGCCAAGGACTTTCTCATGCATGAAGCAGCCCAGCTTATTTTGATTACAAGGAAAGTAAGGATCAAAGTGAAAAGATACATAATCTAAACTTGTGTATTTCTCAGCAGAAGAGTCCCAATATTTAGACTGTGGAAACAAACAGTTTTGTTTTACTCAGTAAATATTTCTTTCCAACCAGACAACAGGCACTGTCTGCTCAGCTGTGTGTTTTTACAGAAGAAAAAGCATTTAGCAACATTAGTCAGGTACTCAGGACAAATGGGACGTGGGACAGGTCATTATAAATGCTGCCTGTTCTTTATTCTTGTACACTTGCCACTCTAAGAGCAGGAATTTAAGCACCTTTTGTCATGGAAATTTTTGAAAAGTGCTCAGGATCACAGAGCCTGGCAACATTTTACACAGAAAACAAAACTGGCAGCACTAAAAAAACCAGTATTTAAAAATCTTTGGGTATGAACTGTGTTTCTCTTGGTATCTTAACCCTCCTGGGGGCCTGGTATAAAAGACAAAGAACCTTACCTCTTCTGAGGGAGATGTCCACTGCTGTGGTGACAGGCATAAGTAAAACACAGATGGCACATTGTTATTAAAAAATGCAGCAAATGTCTAGAAATAGTGACACAAACTGCACTTGGTGGTTTTTTTTCTGATCCACAAACACTTTCCCCCCCTCCATGAACTGGCAGAAGATCTTTGTCTTGGCAGCCAAACTCACCACTGCTTTCAGCTGAGGAGGAATTTCTACTGTCTAGACCTAGTTAGGTTTCCAAATACAGTTTAGGCAACAGAGGGCAACTGGATATGTAGCTCTTAACTGATGCTGAAAGAGTTCCTCATGTTTTCCCTGTATCTCCTCATTGCCCTCATGGGATCTGCCTGAAAAGCTGCTGCTTTCAATGAGCCTTGGTAATGTGAGGCTGTGGATGAGTCTCTTTTACTGAGAAGTACCAGATTCATGAAAAGAACCCCATCTCCAACCCCACAGCTGGCAGCTGGGCCCTCTAACTCAATCCCACGATGGAAGACAAGAGCATGGCAGGATTAAAAATGTATTTATAGATATCAGGAAATTATCTGCCTGAGGCTAGAACAAGGTGAGTGTTTCATGGTGCCAGTGCTCAGGCTTTGTGCTGACCCTCCAGAATCAGAGAATCATGGAATGGTGAAGGTTGGAAGGGACCTTAAAAATCATCAGGTTCCAACCCCCCTGCCATGAGCAGGAACACCTCCCACCAGACCAGGCTGCACAAGCCTCATCCAACTGCCCTTGAGCACTTGCAGGGATGGGACATTCCTTTGCACAAAGCCAGGACAGGCCGATAACCAGAAGAGACTTTGGCAGAGGAAGACAACCCAGTGCTGACTGCAAACTGAGCCGGGCTGGGGCGGGTGACAAAAGCAGCTCTGTTAGCCAGGGCAGCCTTGGAAATTCCAAGAACCGAAGCAGAAATGCAGCAGGGGGAGCAGAAGGGATTCCTTTTGGAAGAGGAAAATAGAACTAGAGATCAGCGAGTCCCCGTCCTGACCGAGAGCGCAGGGAGATCCCACACAGGTCGGAGGATCCGAGGTGTCCCCAGGGCAGGACGAGGTGCCACTGGGGAGTCAGGAGAGGAGCATCCGGGCAGGGCACACACAGCCCGGGCAGGGCACACACAGCCCGGGCAGGGCACACACACACACACACAGCCCGGGCAGGGCACACACACAGAGCCCG